GATTTTTAATCAAATGTATATTAATTGCAATTACTCTTTTACCCCCACACCCATGTTCAGTGTTCACGTGTCATGCAAATAAAACTTTAAAACAGCCGAGGCAGTTTCAATTAAACAGCCAAACAGTCTCTACAAGATATATCTAGAAATATGCCACAACCAAGAGGATAAATTTTCTTAACGTTCCAAATCAGTCTCTATTGCACGGGAAAATCTAAAAGATTTAATAATTTTTATTTTTTATTTAATGTTGATTTATAAAAAAATAATTATTGTTAATTGAATATGAACAATTTTTTTTAATAAATTTAGTTATTTTTAGTCTTATTATTATTTTTAAATGGAATTTTAATTAATTTTAAATAAATAAAAATAATTATAAAAACTACCATTTTTATTAATTCCACTAATAATTAACAATTATATAAGAATGACAACGGGGTGGGTTGAGGGCAGGGCACCCCATCCCTTTCCCTACCCCGACACTCTATCCCATCCCCACCCCGTCCCCAATGTCACGCATGTTCAGGGTAAGGTAACTACTCCTCAATATCAGGCAAGTTCAAGGGCAAGGCACCCCACTCCTCATCAAGGATGGAGAATCCTCGAATTTCCCTGCCCTGTCCCCAGTATTGGGCGGGTTCAAGTAGAGGTGTAAATTGAGTCGTGTTGGGTCGGCACAACACGACCCGCATGTGGCCCGCACAAAGTGCGATACCATGTTGGTCCACGAGGCGTCCCAAGCTGTGCCTCCCTCCTCTACGATAATTTGGGGGCCAGTTCGGCACGGGCCCGTGCCGTGTCGTGGATCGGACTGGTCCATGGGCCAGGCCATGTTGCACACCAAGCCAAGCTCAAGGCAAGGCACCCTCTCCCCGTCCAAGGATTTTAAAATTGGACCGGATAGGGAACCGTTCTAGGGTCGAACGGTTTGTTTGTTCGGTCCAAACGAATGACCCGCTCTAACAAAAAAATAAAAAATTAGAAAAACAAAAAAGGCCTAAAAATGTTGTCTGGATTGACGGTTCGATCGCCTAGGTCAACGGTTTGCTAACCAAATAAACGATTTTTTGACAAAAAGAGGTTCTGAGGTGAAACGGTGTTCGATTCCCAATTTTTTCGGTCAAACCATCTAGTTTGATGCATTTTTTAAAACACTGTCCCCATCAATCCAATATTCAATTTGATGATATAAATGATCAAAATGATATATTGAGCATTAACCACATGGTAAATTTCTAAAATTAATTAAATTATCTTTAATATTCAAAAATGTAATTTTGTGAAAATTTTAGAAAATTTATTGTACTTGTGTAAGTTTGAAAATTTATTCAAATTTTTATTAAATAATTTATTTTATTTTTAATTGGCTTACTTACAGAATTATACTAATTTATCTTATAATTTCTAATATAAACTAACCAATAATTTCCTTTTTCCAATATTATTCTAATTTATCTTAATAATTTGTGTAACTATTTATTCAAATTATAGTTTTCCGTTTCCCATAGTCATTTATCTTTAATAATTATCAATAATTTGCAATGAAATTACATAATTTTTTCAAAGGTTTTTCAAAATCTATCAAATGTAATAAATTTTCCTAAAATTTCCAAAATATTCTAATAATTTTCAATAATTATTTAATGCACTTTAAATAAACTTTCAAATACTTTATATCTTTTAATTTCAAAAATGTTATTTTACGAAAATGTAGTTTTATGAAAAATTTTGAAAATTTTATTACATTTGTATAACTATGGGGATTTATTAAACATTTTTTTAAATTATTAAATATATTTTTTTTATTTAGTAGTTTATTAACAAAATTACACTAATTTATCTTTTATTTTTCAATATAAATTAATTAATAATTTCATTTTCTAACATTATAATATTTTGTTCCCCCATTTGTATTTGGTTATTAATTATAATGATAACAATAACTAAAATTTTATAATTTTTAAATATAATTCTAAATTTTATAGAAATTAATTAAAGAGTTTTCAATTTCTATAAAATGTTAATTTACTAACCGTAATAATAAGAATATTTAATTTTTTGTAATTTACTAACCATATTTATTAACTTTTGGTAATAACACTATTTAATACTCAGTGAATATAGGTGTGATTAAATATTAACCGTATTTAACTATTTATTAATTAATATTAGTATTTTAAATGAGGGAGAGTGGATATAGATTGGGGGGGTGTATCTTATGAATTGATTAGGGAGTGGGGCAACATAATACTTTTCTATTGGTTTAAATGAGATGCTTTAGGAGAGAGATTATAGGAATATTTTTAGGTAGTTGGGTGACATGGCTTAATGGGAGTGGTGGAAAGGGGTGAGGAGATAAAGTTAAAGAGACTGCAAGGTGGGGATAATGGAGCAAGGAGAGGCATGTTGACGTGGACCCATGCTTTATTAAGCGAAAAGTTAAATAATAGAAATACATAAGAGTATATATTTGCTTTATATTTTACCTTTTTAATAAACAATTTGATCTAACTCAATCCGAGTTAGTCGATTTTCTAGTATTTCATATCGGATTTGGTTTAATAAATATATATTAATATTTTATATTTTAAATTTAATTTTTTTAATCAGGGAAGTAGGAAAATTCCTATATTTGTTAGCCTAAAATATTTTATATCATAGATTTAACTTTTGTAATTTATTTTTTAATAATATCCTTGTAATTTTATGAAATTTAAAGTTAATTTTTAAGTTTAAATCTTTTGAACAAACAAGCTCAATTGAAAATTGACCCAAATCGTTACAACTCGAGTTGGTGGGTTTTTGCTAATGGTCAATCGATTTCGATTGATAAACTGTGGACTTTACTATATTGATTTGGTTGGTGAAACAACCTGCCACTGAACTGAACCAATCATTGAACACTCCTAATTTCAACTAAATTTATAGTCTTATCTCTAGTATTGTAAAATTATTACTAATAAATATAATTTTTTGATAGTTATTTTCTATAATTATTAATTGATATAAGTGAAATTAGTTATTTACAATATTATTTAGTTATTTAAATAATATAATTTTTAAATTCTTAAAATATTAATTATTTATTGAGTTTAATAATCTATTAAATTATAATTGTATTATTATTACATGATTCGTTATTAATTTTGTAAAATATTAAATTATTATTAATATAAATATTATGAATTCTATTATAATTATTTTTCTACTTTTAAGAAAATTTTAAAATTTTTTAAATAGTTCTTAATTTTTTTAATTGAAACTTTCTTTAGATAGGTATAGATAAAAAGTGGGGGAGAGGATAAATAGGAATTAAAGATAGTTTAGGAGAGAATCGCTCTACTAAATTAGAGATAAATAGAAGTTAAAAGATAACTTAGGAGATAAATAAGAATTAGAGACAATTTAGGAGGAAGTGGGGGAAAGTGGTGCCAATTGGCTAAACATTAGAAAAGCAAATCCCTCTTTCTTTATGTTTGTTAGAAATAATTAACTATATGTGATTTTCTTATTGGTTTAATGGATAATTATGTGGAATTAAAAAAATAAAAATTAAAAAAAATAGAAAATTAAGAAAGGGATTTGAAGAAAGGAGAGGGTTGTTGACATGATAGGACCAATTTTAATATATATATATATATAGATTGTAAGAGCTAGCAATATCCATAATGAGCTGCTTATAGGCAAAATTTTTCGGGAACCTTCTATTAAGCTCAATTTAAAAAGAGTATAAATACAAATATATATTTGAGTATAAAAAATACAAATATATAATACAAAATAGAAGATTTTGCATTCTACATATTTATATTTATATCCTTTCCCAACTGAGCATATAAGGGCACAAACTGCTGGCAGGTGGATTTTAAGAATCTCTTAATATGACACAGAACTGTCCCAATTAATTATTGAAACATAGGATCTGGCTCGATAGACCCAATTACACTGACATATATATATTTTTTGTACATAATAATTCGAAATTTAATTTTTGATAATATAACTTTAATAAAAGTTACAGTAAAATAATAAATTATTTATAAATTAATAAATCAAGTATTTTTAACCAAAAATATCTTATATTTTATTTAACAAATTTATCCTTTTACACATAAAATATAATAAAAAACACAAAAATTTAGAAAACTTTTATATATCATTAACAAAATAATGAATTATGATCTGAATCAAAATTTTAAGCCTGATCTGAATCGATTAATAAAAACTAAAATTAACCCAATTGTTAATGAGGACAAAATTAAAGAACCAAAATCATGATTTATTTCGGATCGATCAATTGGACACAACCAACCCATAGACTTACAAGTCTTGTGAACAGCAAAGGCTGTAGACTTAAAACATCCAAAATTGTCCGCTGTGTAGAAAGTGTAATGCACAGTCGAGGCTGTCGGATTTAGAAAGCCTGTTTTTTGTTCCTTTCGTCCAATCATGTATCTAGAAAATAGAGGGGCGCCTAAATAACTAGCATAATTAATTGATAAAACTATTATTATAAATTTATAATAAGGCTGTTGCAGTAATCCCTAATATCACTACTTAAATTACTAAAATCGTTCAGCTTGAACAATCCCTACTTTCTGATTTGGTAGCAATCACACTTAATGTAACTATGGATTATCTCTGCTAATTTAAGTTTGTTTCTTAATTGAAGTTTACATCAAACAACGTTGTGAGGGCTGATCTAACGGATGGTTTAAGGCATGTGGAAACTGGAAGTCTCCGGTTTTTCTGGCAGAATAATGGCAGTCTTCCTGTGTTTTTTAATAATTATCACCGGAGGCGGAAGGATTAAGGAAGAGTGCAATAAAATAAAAAGAAATTAAAGAAAACAATTAAAAGAAAGGAAATATTAAATGTGAATTTAGAAAGAATTTGAAGGGAAAATTTTTTATCGGTACCCTTAGTGTCAGAATTTATAGGTATAAAGTACATGTTAGAGAATTGATGCCAAGGGCGGGTATGGGTGTATAAGATTGTGATTTTTGGACGTTTTGAATGTTTATTGCGGTGCAGTGTGATGCTTCATTTTTTTAAAGCAGGTCTCTTTCATGTTGATTTCTAACATAAAGACCTGGCTTGCTTAGCGTCAGATTTCCCGGCCGGGGTCATCAGCTTCCGGCTTGCTCCCGTGGCTTTGCCGTTACACACTTGCGTACTTTTATACGATTTTTTTTATAATTTCCTAGTACGTAGTACGAACACATAATTCCAGCAAGCGTCGACTGTAATAACCGCGGGAACTGGCCGAGAAGCTGTCACTGTCAACCAGATGCTGGATCTCAGTAGCTCTGGTAATATATCCCGGGGAAGGATTTCAGTGTTTTTTCTTGAAAGAACGAGAAGCGTCAGAAGTTGAATGTGTTTTTACTCGTCTGAAATGGTACATGATTTTTATAGCAACCGACTTTCACTACTATCGCTTTTTTTTTTTTTTAAATCTATTTTCTCGGGTTTTTCGTCTTCATTTTTTCAGATTGCAACAACCGTCTTTCGTTTTTGTCTATTCTCTCGGTTTCTAAAGCCTTCGTATGCGTAGTTTTATCGGCGAATTTCCAGCTGGGTGGAATCTATTGTTTCCCCGTGTCTGGTGAGAGTTTCAGACATTCCATTCGTCTTGAGAGCTTGCTTGTCTCGAGAATTTTCTTTTGCAGAACTCGGGGATCCCATTTATACTTGTTGAAGTTTCATTGAGTGGGGATATTCGGCGAGAATTGATTATTTTCGGCAGTGACGACCACCGTAATTCTGAATGCTGGTGCTCAGTAGTTGATACCTTGACGCTATGTTTTATCTATTTCCTAAGAAATTTGGTCGTGGAATTGGACAAGGAAAGTTCTCTGATTCGGATAAGCTGCAATTGCCGCTTGAGCAGTCTAAATTCTCTAGGTGTTCAAAATTCTAGGTGTAATTCTTGGAAAAACTCCAGAAGAGAAGAGATTGGAGATAGAAGTGGTTCATGTTATAATTTCGTTAGTTAAGCTTTGTTTATCCGAATGGAATGGCTCCTAAGTTTCTAAGTTAAAAAATTAGGGCTTCATAAAAGAACTGCAATTCGTTGCATTTGGCGGAAACAGATATCGAGAACTTTGGGATTCAGTATCTGGATCCAATAAGGATGTGCTCGTTACTTGCAGAACAGAGATTGTCTCCGCTATTCCATCTTGTTTTTGTTTGGCCCGGTGTAGCTCCAAGAAAATTAGGGTTTCGTTTATCAAGAAAGTGTCCCGGGAGTTGATGTGGGGGAATGCATCAGGACTTTTTCTGGTAATAGAAGATTCAAGTAGTTGTTATAATGCGTAAACTAATGGTAATGGGTTTGGAGCTTTTCTTCTGGTTAAGGACTTAAGCAGTTTGTAGACAGTAGTGGTTTCTGAAGCGGAAAGTAATCCAGTTTTACTCAGATTCCTCATACTGGAAAAAGGAAGGAAAAGTGCTGGTAGTTGATTTTAATTGTGGTTTTAAGCAGCACTACGCCATGAAGGCGCCATCTAATGGGTTTGCTGCAACTTCCGGAGAAGGTATATTTATCTTTGTTTTTTCCTGTTATCCTTCATTCGTCTTATTAATTTTTTTGTTGTTTTATTCTTTTTAGGCCATCCTTTTAATTGAGTATTTCCCCCTCTATTTCAGTTAAAGACAGACGGGATTTAATGGGTAATTCATATATTTAGAAAAGATGTATACAGTTTTTCATCTTTGCCATGCCCTTTTTTGCCGATCTGTTTAAATTTGTATGGTTTCTTACCAGTTCTACTTGCCATCTTACATGAGAAGTACGTTTTACTTTTAAATGCTTCTGAATTTGGAGTTTTCTAAGTTCTTGCTACTCTAAACTTTATGCGCTTATTTTTCATATTTTATTATGAATTCATGGTGGAACATTTAAATCAATCCCATCAGGAGCATAGCGACCACTATTGTTAGTTTTCCTTAGTTAATTTAAATGCTTAGTGTCAAGAAATAGAACTCTACACTCTAGTTGTTTTATTTTGAGTGCACAGCGTTTATTGCACTAAGAAAAATACTGTGTAATTATAATATTCTAGAATAACATATAGCTATTTAATTGTTGTTAGAAGTTAGGCTCTGTTGGATGATGACCTTTATGGTGTTCTGACCTATTTTAGAAACTAATGTGACTTTTAATCGAATTATCAACATGGAATTTAGCTACTTCACTTGCTTTGGAAGCATGTATGGAGAAAAAAAAGAATTCAACGTCATTCCACCTTCTATGTTAATGTTTAAATCTAATTGAAGTTGTACCTATAATACAGATTCTAAAGGCATGGAAATGCTCCTTTCCCTTGTCAGAAGGGAGAGACTGAAGATTCTAAACCTATAATGTTTTGTACATTCAAAGATTTTATTATGTATTCTTTTATCTTTGGATTATCTTGACATCTTCTATTTGGTATTGAAATAGGTGAAAGAAAGAGTAAAAATTCGGAGTTGTGGCATGCTTGTGCAGGACCACTGGTGTCTTTGCCTCCAGTTGGTAGTCTTGTGGTTTACTTCCCACAAGGCCACAGCGAGCAGGTACACTATTTTGTTCAGTAAAATCAACTATTGCAGAAATACATGTTTTGTACACGATTAAACAATTCTCTTGTCATTACAATCTCAGGTTGCAGCTTCGATGCAAAAAGAGACTGACAGCATTCCAAGCTATCCCAACCTTCCCTCAAAGTTGATTTGTGTGCTACACAATGTCACCTTACATGTATGAGAGCTTTAATGAAGCATATTTAGAAATTTCATTTCATGAGCATTTTGTGTTTGAAGGAAAATGACTGCACTCAAGATTTTAACATAGCCCATCCATGGAGAAACCTGAATTGGCAACACACCTCTTTGATCGACTATAGTCCAGAAATTTATGCTCATTGAACAATTCTAAGATTCCCATGCTTCATTTTTTTTGTCTTCAATCTGTTTCAAAGCTAGGCAAGGTTGGTGATAAGTATGACTTTTGGGCTACAGCTCACCATGAGTGGGAAGTGCAGCATTCTAGGTTGATGCATAGTGGCCACACATGCAGCATAACATTAGAAATAAGTATACCAATTTCTAGAGTACTAAAATTGTAATTTTTTGAATCAGGCTGATCCTGAAACTGATGAGGTTTATGCGCAGATGGCTCTTCAACCTGTAAATAAAGTAGGTCAGAAGCACCAAGTGATATGTCTCCAATGTTCTCTGTTATGTATGTTAGTCCTGATTTTATTTTCTATATTTTATTATTTTAAAGAGACTTACTCATCATGTCTATAGTATGACAAGGAAGCATTATTGGCATCGGACATGGGGCTCAAGCAAAGCAAGCAACCCACTGAGTTCTTTTGCAAAACACTTACAGCTAGTGATACGAGCACTCATGGTGGATTTTCTGTACCTCGCCGGGCAGCAGAGAAGATCTTCCCACCTCTAGTGTGTACAGTTCTTGAAATCTATTTTAATAATCTTAAAGTTTAAGCATGACAATATACATTTAATACCTATAGATTCAAGTGCTTACCTAGAATATGTTTGCTAGGATTTTTCAATGCAACCCCCAGCCCAGGAACTAGTAGCGAGAGATTTGCATGATGTTGCATGGACATTCAGACATATCTATCGTGGTATATGCCTTTCTTGAGTTTCATAGAAAATAAATCATTTTCCCTTCATTTTGTTGATTCTTTCTAGATGTCCTATGGTACCAGACTGGAGTACTTTGTTTCTCCATGATGGCAATGTTTTTCTTGACTGAGGCATCTTTGATGAAATCAGTTTTTTTTCCTAATCTTAGTTTATACTGCTTGCTCTAGTCATTAGCTGAACTGCTGACTTTTCTTTTATGAAGACAATAATTCCTAGACTCTTTGTTTCTTTCCTGATTTCTTTTATCAAAACCTAAAGAGGGTGACTGCTTAAGTAGATGTGATGGTATTTTTAATTATTTTATCTGTCCAGTTGGTTGAAGAATTCAGAATGCGGACTATTGTATAAGAGACTGGATTGAGATGTGTGGAGGATTTGCTGTCTGGCAGGCATGGAAAAACTGAAATGTGAAAAATAATGAATAAAAAGTTTTAAGTCATCAATTTGATTGACATGATTGACAATTTGTTATTTTCTTTTCCATTTTCTGATTTTCCTTGGCCTCCAGTTCCTTTATTGAAAAAAATAAATAAATACTGATAATTGTCATATCCACTGTCTGTAAATATTGCTAATTTATGTGTATCCAGTATACCCCTCCCAAGAGCCCAGATTGCTGGGTCCAACATTGGATAATGACCTTTAATGTTTATAATTAAAGCAACAAAGTTTCTGCTTATCTGCTGTAGCAAAATCATGCTGTAGGGGCACAACAGCAATCATCATTCCATTAGGAACTGCATGTTCCAGGAAAACCATTATGTTACCGGTGATGTTATTTGAGTTGGGAATAGCTGAGGGAAAATAGTAATAACTACTTTTTCTCTGTCGTAGGTCAACCAAAAAGACACTTGCTGACTACAGGTTGGAGTGTGTTTGTTAGCACAAAAAGACTCTTTGCTGGTGATTCTGTTCTTTTTATAAGGTAAATGAAAGAGAACTGAAGGGTATGATCCTTAGACATTTATTTTTGTTGTTATCCAACTCTTTTAAGAAAATTTTCTTGTAGAGATGAAAAGTCACAGCTTCTCCTGGGTACAAGGCATGCAAGCAGACAGCAACCAGCCCTTTCGTCATCAGTCATATCTAGTGATAGCATGCATATTGGAATTCTTGCTGCTGCCGCCCATGCTGCTGCAAATAACAGTCCATTTACAATATTTTATAACCCAAGGTACCAATGGATGATTATTTACTGTTGTATTGTTATGTAATAAAGTTGGGCTATAGAAATCCAGTTCACATGGTTTAATGCATTCCATTTGCTTCAATAGGGCCAGTCCTTCAGAATTTGTAATTCTGTTATCAAAATATAATAAAGCAATGTACACCCAAGTTTCTCTTGGGATGAGATTTAGGATGATGTTTGAGACTGAGGAATCAGGGGTACGCAGATACATGGGGACAATAACAGGTATCAGTGATTTGGATCCTGTGAGATGGAAAAATTCACAATGGCGCAACCTTCAGGTTTGGTCTTATCTTACACTGATATTTATGAAATATGTAAATCCAGACTTTCAATTCCCTTCTTTGTCAGTTATATTCTGGATGTAATTTATTGTACTCCATTTGTCGAAGTTGAGGACTTCTAGATTCTATCCACTCTTGACCATGTTATTCTGGATCTGTGTTGATGGCTAATTGTCATGCTTAAATAGTTTTATTTAAACCTGTGCAAGTTCCCCAAATAGACTAGTTCTCATTTTATCTCATCCAGTTATTATCATTTTCTTGTATTCAACAGGTTGGATGGGATGAATCAACAGTTGGTGAACGTCCAAGCCGAGTTTCAATTTGGGATATTGAGCCTGTTGCAACTCCATTCTACATTTGCCCACCTCCATTTTTCAGGCCAAAATTCCCTAGACAATCAGGGATGCCAGGTACTCCATGTTAGTAACATGCAGAGAATTATGTTAGTCTATCAATTAGATGTGTCTATATAGCTGAAAACTACCTTTCATGCATAGGTTCAGGTTAACAACTAATATGCATGTTCTGCTGATAAAAAAAAAACAAAGCAAACTGGCAAGTACGGAAAGACAAGCTGGAAATTCAAGGCCCACTAACCATCTGACTTTTTCTACCCCCTTGCTAGAGCACTGTCTTCTTATATATGTCCATGTCCCCCCCTCCCCCCTTTTTTCTTTTCTTCACATGATCTCAAGAATAGGCCCATCCAATGGCTATTAATTGAAAAATTATAGCAAAAGAAGCTAATGACTTTTGTGTGGGGCAACGGAAGTGCTACATTTTAAATTCAAATTTTCCTGGCTCTGCAGTACCTTAAAAGTGGTCCATGTAAGGATATATGTGTTTTTTGCAGATAGTGAATCTGACGTAGAGAATGTTTTCAAGAGGGCAATGCCTTGGCTTGCAGATGATTTTGGYATGAAGGATACTCAGAGCCCAATCTTCCCTGGCTTGAGTCTGATCCAGTGGATGAATATGCAGCAGAATCCYCAGTTTTCAGTTGCTCAGTCAGGATTCTTCCCATCCATGGTTTCCTCTTCTGCACTCCATAATAATCTTAGCACCGATAACCCCTCTAAAATGCTAAACTTTCAAGCCCACAGCTTGTCTGCACCAAATTTCCAGTTCAATATTCCAAAACTAAATCAATATAACTCACAAGTTCATCAGTTACAGCCACAACCCCTGTCATGGCCTCAACAGCAGCAGCAGACTCTTATTGGTCCACAGCAGCAGCAACACCCTCAGCCACAGCAGCCAAACAACCAACAACAGCAACAACTGCAGCAGCAGAAGCAACAACATGATCAACAACAGCAACAGCAGCTTCTTCGAGCAGCTATTACTAGTCCCAGTATAGTTGCCCCAAACCAGATTCCACATCAAACCCTGCAGCCACCAATTCTTTCCTCTCAAGTTCAACAACATGCATCACCCACACCCAACAACCAATCACAACAGAACATCCAAGCCACTAACCAGGGTTCCCTTCAACCAGCATCTTTACCGCAAGAGTTGCAGATCCAACAGCAAGTTGAACAGCAACAGAACCTCTTGCAGAGGCAGACGCAGCAGCAACCACAGCTGCAACAATCATCATTATCTCAGCAGCAGCTTCAGCTACAATTGCTGCATAAATTACAACAGCAGCAACAGTTACTTTCCCATGTTAGCCCACTATTACAGCCTCAGCTGCAACAGCAACATCAAGCCCATCAACAAGACCAGCAATTCCAACAACAGCAGTCATTGCCATTGCAACAGCAGCAACTAAGTAACACCACTGACTTGTGTCGACATCCCCCAGATCAACCAAAACAGTTCCCATCAAATCTAGGCCAGCATAAACAACCTATCACAATCAGAGGTCATTCTGGTCTTACTGATGGGGATGCACCCTCTTGTTCGGCATCACCATCTACTAATAACTGTCATGTTTCTTCATCAAGCTTCTTGAACAGAACACATCAAGTCACAGATGTTATGGGAGAGGGCATGATGGTTCATTCTACAGCTAATCCTCTTCAGGAGCTTCAGAGCAAGTCTGATATCCAAGTCAAACATGAACTGGCAAATCTGAAAGAACCAGAGCAGCTTGCACATAAAGGTATCATTACAGATCAGTTGGATGCATCCTCATCTGCAACTTCATATTGTTTGGATGGGAGCAGTAGCCTCCTGCAAAATTTCTTGCTACCCAACTTCTGTTTGGAAGGGGAGTCTCAAGCAGACCCTCCAAACAATCTTCTCTTTGGAGTGAACATTGATGGTTTGACACCAGACACTTTGCTATCAAGGGGGTTTGGCTCTGGGAAGGATCTTCAAAACTTGATATCTAGCTATGGTGGCACTCAAAGAGATATTGACACGGAGTTATCTACTGCTGCAATTAGTTCTCAGTCATTTGGGGTGCCAGACATGTCATTCAAGCCTAGCTGTTCCAATGATGCTGCTGTCAATGAGACTGGAGCTTTTAATAGGGGATTGTGGACTAGCCAGACACCTCAGCGATTGCGAACATTCGCAAAGGTTTTTTGTTTCATTTTCGCTCTTTACTCTCTTTTTGCCCATTAGACTCTGTTTGTTTACAGTGCAAATTTATTTGCACTAGTACAAATGCATAGGAATACAAACAGCAAGAATGCAAATTTTATTTCATTTTTTGCCTTGGTTTTACTTCACATTACTTCAGGATTTTTTTTTTTCATTTTCAATGCAAAACCTGAAACAAAAGTAAATCAGAAAGTGCTCTCAACTCATTCGCACCCACATACTTTTGTGCCAATGCAAATAAAATTGCAATATAAACAAACTAAGCCTTAGTGTCAAACTTAGATACCACATGCCAGGGACACTGACCTGGAAAAAATAAATCCATAAATGATTAATTTACCAGTATTAGAATCTAAACTATACTAATCTTAGTTCTGGATGAAGACCTGGCTTCCATCCTCCCTGAACTGCATGGTTTACATTCCTTTCCCAAAAAGCTTGGCCATAGTGGATTATTTCTGAACATTTGAGTTCTGCATTTCTTCTAAAAGTGGAAGCAATAAACTGATTCCTGATTCATCATCAGCCATGCCTTATCCCAATTGTAAGGGGCAGACTACATGAATCTTGTTTCGCTAACCCATTCTATTTAAAGTCATCCACTGTTAAATTATTAGTGCTTACATAATTTCTTACTTCTTTTACCCATGTCCTTTTTTGGTCTACCCCTAGTTCTTCTATCCCCTTCCACTTGTAACAATCACTTCTTCTAATTGGTGTTGTTGGTGGTCTTCTATTCACGTGACCAAACCATCTTAGTCTACTCTCTCTCATTTTATCACCTATTGGAGCAATTCCTAGGTTTCTACGGATGGTTTCATTCTTGATCCTATCCTTTCTAGTTTTTCCACTCATCCGCCTTAGATTTCGTATTTCTACCACTCATTTTTTGAACATGTTGTTTCTTGACTGCCCAACACTCTGCACAATAGAACATGGTGTAGAGAACATTGATGTGGGCCCCACAGCTGTGGTCCCACTCTGTCCGTAGGGTAGAATGTATCTAGTCACAGCTGTGGTCAATTTGTTATTCTGTTATTCCTAGTTGTTATTTAATTTTTCAGTTTTATGTTGTTATGTGTTAGCAGTTATGATGTAAACACCAAGGGCAGATATGTCCTTTCATGTAACTAGCATAACATATAAATATTAAATTA